ACATGTGTATATATATTATGTAAAATGTGAAGCTTTTCATCAACACGGAAAGAACTATGTCTAATTACATAGACCAATTTTCTTTAACAGCATCATTGACAAAATTTTCATTTCTAAGACAGAAATGACCCTGGAGCCTCACTAAAGAAAGACCAATGCATTTGTTTCAATATTATTACAAAAAAAAAAAAAAAAAAAAAACCAAAAACCAAAACCAAAACAAAAAAAAACCCGCCATCTTTCTCAAAATATAAGCTGGAAAGAAAAACTGTTCATTATGTAGAGAAAAACGCATCAACTTTCCTTTGTCAGGCAAATGTCTCATAGAGTAAAAGAGGAAGACACTCTTCACAAGAATAGACATTTTCACTTCTTTAAATATTTACTATGAGTAATTATAGCCTAAGACAACGTGAATTTCCAGAAAGCAGAAGTCTTCAAATGTATTTAAAAATATCTTTACATTTAGCATATGAACTAACTTTACCATTTAAATTTAGGTAACTGCAGGATTAACCTTTAATTATCAAATGTAATCAAGTTTAGTAGATACATTACAGTGTACTATGGCCAACATTCTATTTCAATGCTTTGGTGGACATCTCTTTACTTAATCTCTTTTAAAGGTGAGGGCTTTTAGGGAGATTTTTACCATGTTTGTTTAGGGAGATAATTTGGGGGAAAAGAGAAGAGGAAATGAGCAGAAGAAATTTCCAAAGCACTGTGACAACAATTCTAGCAGAGAAAAATTTCAAGTGGAGAAAAACACTGACCGGGACAGCTGTGTACAAAGTGCCTGTCAGTGACTCACTGCTTACCGGTTAGGATTCAGCAGAGTCCTCAGCCTCGAGCACATTTCATGGAGCCAGTCAAGACCTCTTTGCAATTTTGATACCAAACCTCAGAGTGAAAGAGTGAAAGAACCGATCAGACTCCACCCTGTGGGGATTTTTTGTGTTAAGTTTAGTTCCTCCCACTTCATCAAATCTAAATTTCCAGGCTCACGCTCATGCTCGTGAGCACGCGCACACACACACACACACACACACACACACTCACACACTCACACACAGCTAGCAAAATGCTACTCTTGCTCATTCATGTTTTCAAGCACAGGTGGCTCTCCTGAGAGATCTTTTCCTCAACAGTTCTGATCTTTAGACTTATAGAAACACTCTCTTGTCCAGTATTTGGGTCTTTAGTGTGTGAGCTAACAAGTTTATCCTGGAGCTGAATTTCAAAACTTTCATTCTTTGCTCCAAATTACTCTACACACTGGAGAAAAATTCTCTGCTAATTGGAGATTTTTCCTTTAATTTTTTTCCTTTAAATTTTGATGCTGTATTTCAACATCATATATATTCTGAGTTTGTAGTCTGGTGCAGAGTTTGTGGCACTTAAAAATTTTAGTTAAATATGTAAAGTAGGCTTTTATTCTAGAATACACTTTGTCATCTAATATGTTGATTTAAAAACTTCTAGTTCATGTTATGCATGGTGGAGTATGCCCCTAATCCCAGCTCCCTGGGAGACTGAGACCAAAGGACTACAAGTTCAAGTCCAGTTTGAGTAATTTAGTGAGATTCCCTCAAAATACAAAACAGAAAATAAATAGGTGAGGGGTGGTTGGGGATTGTAGCTCAGTGCTCCCTGGATTTAATCCCCAGTACTACAAGAAAACAAACAAGCAAAACAAATCAAAGCAAACAACCTTTCGTAGTTCATAAATCTAGAGAGTAAGACAATCAGAAAAAGAAAATTAAGCCTAATGAAAAATAATCTGTGAAACTGCATTATTATTGGAAAAAATTCTTTTAAGCCTATGAACTTTCTATTGCTCTTTCTATGTTACCTATCAGACAATTATTCCTGAGCTTCATCTTTTGATGATGAATATTCTTTAGGAATAACATCTTAGAGCAAGGATTTTTAGAATTAATACTACAGATTGATACTGGACCTGAATAATTGAGACATTTATGTTTTGCTCCAAACCTATCACACACTGGATAATGGATTATTTCATTTAATCATTTATATAAAGTGTTCACCATATGATCTTGAGCAATTTACACACTGTTGCTGAGGTGCAGGCTTTTATCTATTAGATAGACGCAAAAATGCCTTCACTACAAGATTACTGAGATCATGAAAGAATACATATAAAAACATTGTAAAACACCACTTAAATCAATCAGTGATACATTCTTTATTTTTTTAAATTAATCATACAAAAAGCACTGCCCTCCAGTCTCCAAGAGAAGAGGATATAAAACATGAAGTTATTGTTAATACAAATAACTCAGCAGTGTGAACAATATATATTTAATCTCATTAGTCCTTTCCTCATGATCAAAAAATAAAGTATACTCATTATATTAATGTGGAACAATAAAAATTTAAATCTACTCATAGGTTCACATATACATCCCCCCTTTTTATTATCTTTTCCTTGAATATAAGGACTTTGAAAGGCTGATGCCATTTTAATGTGGAAGTGAGCCAGGGTTGTGGGGTGGGGGAAGTTGGTGTCATTTTTAGTTGGAGTGGAACACTCCTTTGGTGACTGATTAAAGATACAAATATAGGACTAAAGATAGATATATACATATCAGGGTCTTGTCTTCATTTTGTTTCTAGTAAAATTCTTTAGTGATATCATCAAAAATAATTCCATCCAAATGTAATCTTAGAAACTATTGTTTCACAGCACTATTTTTAAAATAGTTGCTTGGAAGGCTAAGCTGCACTATGTTTTTCATGATTTGGAAGTTCTCTCTCTGACTCATGAAATTTGGCAAATTTATTCATTTAAAAGATATATTAAGAATATTGTATGTATTAGCCACAGCTTGAAATGCCAGGGACATGATGGTAAGTAAAAACCTGTATGGTGGCTGAAGTTCTTAAAATAACAAGGAATTATGAAATATAGAGTAAAAAGGTAAAAGAAATTAAGACCCAGTGTAGGGCTAGCTGTGAAGGCTAAAATTATTTAAAACACTTTTTTTTTAAGAAAGAAAAGAATAAAAAACAGTGTATTCTTTCTTTCTTTCTTTTTTCTTTTTTTCTTTCTTTCTTTCTCTTTATTTCTTTTTCCTTTTCTTTTTTAGAACCAGAGAGAAAAAAATGCATTGTCAGGATAAAATATACCAATTTTTATTTTCCTATTAATTTCCACATATTGTATCTCAGTTACAACTTAATAGATCTTAGAAAGGGAGAAGCTGTGATTTTATCCTTAGAAGAAATTGTGTAGGAATGGAACAGAGTAAATATCTATGGAATTGGTTAATTTCTATTTTTTTAAAGATTTATTTCCTTTCACATTAGCCACAGCAAGTAGACAAGAGAAAGAAGTAAAAGGAATAAAGATAGGAAAGGAAGAAGTTAAAATATCATTATTTGCTGATACATGATACACTACATAGAATACCACAAAAACTCCACCAAAAGACTTCTAGACTTAATTGCCAGATTCAGTAGAGTAGCTGGATACAAGGTCAACACTGAAAAATCAATAGTCTTCTTTTACACCAGTAACAGACTCACTGAAGGAGAAATTGGGGGAAAATTCTTTTCACAATAGCATCCACAAAAATTAAATATCTAGGAATCTATCTAATGAAAGAAGTGAAAGACCTCTACCCTAAATACTACAGCATTCTGGGAAAGGAGACTGAAGAGGATGTAAGAAAATAGAAATATATCCCTTGTTCCTGATTAGGAAGAACCAATATAGTGAAAAGGGCCGTATTTCCTAAACTGCTATATAGATTGAATGCAACTCCAATCAAAATCCCAACAGTATATTTCACAGAACTAGAGAAAACAATCCAAAAATCATTTGGAACAAGAAGAGTCCTAGAATAATAAAACCAATTCTAGGCAACAGAGATAGGATGGGGGTATCACACTCCCAACTTGAAACTATACTGTAAGTCACTGTGATAAAAACAGCATAGTACTGGCAAAGAAACAGATATAAGGATGAATGGAACAGATTTGAAGGCAAAGAAATAATTCCAAATATACTAAGCCACCTTATCTTTGACAAAGATACCAAACATCCTCACCTGAGGAAAGATAGCCTCTTTAATAAATGGACCTGGAAAACTGGATTTCAACCTGCCAAACATTAAAAATAGACCTACTTCTCTCACAATGCACTAAACCTAAATCAAAGTGGATGAAAGATCTAAATATTAAAACAGAAACACTTAACTTGTTGGAAGATAAGTTAGGTAGAATCTTGAAAACATTGGTGTAGGAAAAGACTTTATGATCAGTAATATGGGAACTAGCACAAAAAATCAACAACTGGGGTTTCATCATATTAAATAGCTTCTGCAATGCAAGAGAAACCACCAAGAGAGCTAAGAGACAACCCACACTGTGGGAAATAAGTTTTAGCAGCTGTTCCTCAGAAAAGAGTCTTCTATCTAGAATACATAAATGAGTTTAAGAAATCAGACCCCCAAATTTAAAGACCCAATTCAAAAATGTTCATCTGAAATGAACAGACATTTCTTAGATGTAGAATTAGAAGCAGCAAATAAACATATGAAAAAATGTTCAATATCACTGGTCATTCTAGAGATGCAGATGAAAACAACACTGAGATTCCACCTCACCACAGAAAGAATGGCCACTACCAAGAATTCAACCAAGAACAAATGCTGGCTGGGTTGTGGGGAGAAAGGAACCCTTCTCCATGGTTGGGTGGAGTGCACACTGGTGCAACCACTGTAGAAATCAGTATGGAGATACCTCACAAAAACTAGAATTAGTGGTCACACTTGACTCAGCTATTTCCCTACTGGGCATCTTCCAAAAAGAATTAAAAGAATCATAGCACTGGATAAATATGATATGTTTTTTCTATGAAATGGAGTACTACTCAGCCATAAAGAATGAGAAACAAGAGACATTTATAGCTAAATGGATGCACATTGAGGCCCCACTCTTAAGTGAAATAAATAGGATACACATAAATATTGAACAGTTTCTTTGGTGTGAGGAAATGAAGGGGTAAATGAGAATCAAAATGCATAATAGATAATGTGAAATAGGGGAAAAAAGGTCTGAAAGGGAAGGGGAAGTGGGAGGTGTTGCGGAAGGAAGGGAAAGGAATACACATGAGAAAAAACAATGGAAACAAAGACTTTGCAGATAGGGAGAGGTGGAGGGTTAGAAGGGAGGGCAGGGGAATGCGGAAAAACAGAAGAACCAAAAGTATCATGTAAAGGTACAAATTCCCAATGGTTAGTATCACCGTATTGTGTCACTTAAATGTACCGATAAAAGTAATGAGTAAAAACAGATTTATTTCCTTTCATTAAGACTGATCATTAGGCATGGAAGGAACGTTCTGTTTGAACTATGAACCCTACATTTCCTCTGGATGATGAGCCACGTTACACTTGGTGCAACATATTTCTGTTTGATAAGAATTCAGGGATCTGTTACCCACATGAATGGAACTGTGTTCAAATGGGTGATGACACAGAGAGAGCAGCTGTTGCCAGTCTCAACTTGTGGGACAACTTGGGGAAGGACTGATTTAAAAACAAAACAAAACTGAAGCTCGAATTTAAGTATGTAAGACATTTCCCATGACTAGTTTCCTCCAGTAAAATAAAACCTTTCTCACGACTTCACTTCTCACCTCCCCAGAGGAGAATTTAATGAGTTCTAGGACCCTCCCACCCTCTTCTACAAGGCAAAGTCCGTGTCATTTACACAGCACTCTGCTGTCTAAGATGGGTCAGGTGGCTTTTTGCTTTTTTCTTCCCTGCCTTCTGTCTCTTTTCTTTCCCCTTGTTTCCCCACCCTGCTCTGTACATCCCGAGTGCTTTTTGCCTTCCTCCGGTGATAACCCATGTGTCATAGCAGGAGCTTTGTCAAATACTGGGTCAGGAAAGTCCCCTCAAGCAGCTTCTTTTCTGACGCCAAGCAATG